TCTCAAGACGGCTCAGCTATCGGATCTGTGTTCTGCCATTGCACCAACTTCAGAGGCGATGGAAGCCAGACCTGATGATAGGAAGGGTTCACCCAAGGTAAAGTAGAGCCCATCAGTAGCAAGGCGGAGGCAAGAATGCACTGGGGCTCGTTCTGTTGGTGCTGTAGCCCGGCTGAGTGCGCAGGCCCCTCTGCCTACCTCTTGCGGGCTGCCCTCCAGCTGCAAAGGAGCTGGCGCAGGGCCATACACCGAGCTGCTGCTCTCTGTGCCCAGAGGCTTCTTCCAGAGGGCAGAGCTCAGGGCTGTGGGCTTCAGATGGGAAGGTGGCAGTAGGGTGGGCGGGACTGAGGGATGCAATAATCCCACACCCTCGCCCAGCTTCAGAGAAACTGGTGCTGAGGCGGTTGCCATGGTGATAACAGCTCCCTGGTCAGGAGATTTTTCTCTCTTCCCTCTCCTTCATTTGCTCTTCTCCAAGCAGCAGCCATAGAAGCTGCAGCTTCTCTCTCTCCTTGTTCATGAGAGGCAGGGGATGATAAACAAAGGACAGGCCCTGCTGACCACCTCTACCTTGGAGCTGTCCATGCATGTAGGCTGCTGGTCTAGGAGGGACTCCTAACAGCAGAAAGGGGGCCCGGGCCTGGCGAGGGGGTCGTCTTGACCTAGGCCTTGGTAAGAAGCAATGTCCCTTCACTGAGGACTAACCCTTCCCCCCCAGGCCTCCTCTCTAAAACACCTCCATAGTTCAGGGATAGAGGGGAAGGGTCCTGTTGTCTCCTAATCAGCCATCGAACCAGGTGTGTCACTGTTGGGTGGCCATTCAAGACCATCTCATTCAGTCCACCCTGGGTCCTGACCCCTTCCCCATTTCACAACGTATCGGAGAGGGAAGTGACTTGGCCAAAGTCAGACAGCACTGAGGCAGAGACAAGATCTGAACCAGCTCTTCTGCCCTCCAGGCTCAGGTCACCTTAGGGAAAGGAGCCACACGGTCGGTCCGCATGGAGCTTTGGCACAGTCCCCGCAGAGCAGCAGGAAGATAGGCACGCAGAGGGAGTGACTGGTGCAAGGAGCGCCGGAGCGGGTACAGATTAGGAAGATATTTGACAGGAAGAATGAGAGGACTTGGTGCTTTGCTGTAAGGGGTGAGGGGGATGGAGGAGGCTGGGACCTTGGTTGCAGTGACTGACAGGTAGGTAGGGGTGGTCTCCTGGGGATTGGAGTCCCTGGTTCATCCTCCAACCAGGATGAGAAGACCACACATGGGGCCTCCGCCTGGCACTGAACCTTGGTGAGGAGGCACTGTTGAAAGTGTTGTGAAGAGAAAGGGGGAGGAAGGGGGGTTTTGGGGAGGGGGGCTGAGTGGCTGGTGGGGCTGGGTGATAGGGGTCCAGGTTATCTATGGAGGTGGGAGGTTGCCATGGGACTGGGTGGACTGCCTATCTCCAAAGGAGAGAGGTTGACTGGTGCCTCCTCTGGTACCAACAACACTGCACCCCCAGGTGTGTGTGTGTGTTGGGGGCCAGAGCAGTGGTTGTTTTCACCTGAACTGGGGATAAGGAAGCAGCTCTGCCTCCTTTCCTGGGACCCATGGGGCCTGGACGTGGGTGGGGGTCCCCCCTCCAGATGCTGCCGCCTGTGGCAGAACCTGCGGCCAGGGAAATGAATCAGAGGGGGCAGCAAGCGAGATTGGGAAGGGAGAGCGGAGGGGGAGGGGACAAGGGCCTCCGCCCAGCCCCGCCCGCGTTACCTGAGGCCGCTCGCCGGGTCGCCGGATGGCTCCGAGCCTCAGCTGGACTCGGGGATCGAGACTGGCTCGTGGGTGGGCGGCCAGGTTCCCCAAGATCCGCGCTGCAGCCGCCTCCCAGCTCTGGGATCACTTGTGTCTCTCGGAGGCGACACGATTTGCATAAGCCCCACCTCCCCCGGGGCAGATCTGGCGTGATTGGCTCCGCTGGGGCGGAGTGGCAGGCGCGGTTTCAGGTGGGGACCGGGTGGCCAGTGAGGCCCCGCGGCAGGAGCGCACCCCGCCTGCCCGCGCTGACCTTCCTGGGAGTCGCGAGGAAGGGGGAGGGCTGTGCCGCCTCTACACCCGCGCCCGGAGGCTCAGACCCCGGGCCACAATCTGGGG